AATCAAAACATCAGCTTATAATAAATATAAGTAATATTATAATAAATATTAGAGAAGATGTGGAGAAATCAGAGCACTCATATACTGCTGGTGGGAATGTAAAATGGCTAGGCTACTTTGAAAACAATTTGGCAGTTCCTCAAAAAGTTAAACATAGAGTTGATATTACACCCAACAGTTCCACTCTTAGGTATACTAGTATATCCAAGAGAGTAAAATTGATGTCCACACCAAAAAATTCACATAAATGGTTATAGTAGCATTGTTCACAATACTCAAATGGTAGTAACAACTCAAATGTCCATTACTAATGGGTAAGCAAAATGTGGTATGTCCATATAATAAAATATTATTCAGCCATAAAATGGAATAAAGTACTGATACATTCTACACAACATGGACAAAGCTTGAAAATAGTATACTAAGTAAAAGAAGCCAGACAAAAAAAAAGACCACATATTATAAGATTCCACTTACATGAAGTTTCTAGAATAGGAAAAGCTACAGAGACAGAAAGTCGATTAGTGGTAGTTTGCTCAGCACTGAGGGGAATGAGGAGAAAGAAGAGGGATAGTTAAAATGTATGGGCATTCTTTCTTAATGATAAAGATGTTCTAAAAATGACTGTGGTGATAGTTACACATATCTATGAATATACTAAAAACCACTGTACACTTTAAATGGGTGAACTGTATGGTATATGAATTACATCTCAATAAAGCTATTTAAACCCTCCCAAACACACACACACACACACACACACACACACACACACAAATTGGTATAGCTGTTGATGCCAATTTTCTGGTGGTTATTTTTATTATTTTTTAACATATATGATGGATATGGCTTCGCATCCATAAAAATCTGGTACATTAAATATAATTTTAGTTTATTTTTGAAACAAATTAAATCTCACCTCAACCCTCATTTGTGAAAGTATTGAGATGTCAAATTATAATGTTCATGTGTGCAACTATCACCACAACCAATGTGAGAACATTTTCATTATAATTAGGGTTCCCTCCCCTGCAACAGGAGAGATTTATACAAGTTGCATGGTCTTCTGCAGTCTAGAACACCAGGAAGGGCTCTCTGCCTTGGTCTGTACTAGTTAACACTGAAAAGATCACAGTCTGAGCCTGCACAGGCTAAGGTCCTCTGAGTGAAGGTTGTTTGCTACTTCTCTTACCTGCTAGAGATTGGGGGATTTTGTGAAAGCTGGAAATCCTGGGGGCCCACGCAGTCATTTCTCTTTGACCTCTTTCTATTTCCTGAGGCACTGTGAGGCAGCAGGGCATTCCTGGAATCTGCAAAATACTAACCTCTTCCTAGTTTTGCAAAATCTTCTTCTCTGTCAAGGTCTACTCCTTTTACCCCTATCTCAAAATACTCTCCATCTTCTTCCCTTCTATGGGATTTCTGATTCCAGCAAGGATAGCTCTGCTTGTTTAAGACCATCCCTCTTACTGAGAACAACTAGACAAGCTGGGCAGAGCAGAAGAAATATCTGTTTGAAGGCACTAGAAACTTTTTAAACAAATTTGAAAGTTTCAAGTTCTCTTCAAGCAAGAACTTGAAGGGCCAAGTTCCAAGGAGAACAAGAAAGTACAAAGAGGCTAGCCCATTATTTAGCACTGCCTTTCCCTTTGCTGCATTCGCTGATTCTTAGCAACCAAGAGGGCAAGAGGCTAAGGAGAGCTTTGGGTAGCCTTAGGGAACTGAGATGGGAAAAAAAATGGAGATCAAAGGCCACTAAAGAGGAGGTACCATGGTAAACACCCCAAGCTTTCATTTGGTATGGTAATCTGTTACATTGGTGACCCCGCAATGAACCATACCTCCCAGTATTTATGCCTCCCAGTGGTCACTCTTTACATTGGCTTTAGGCTTGGCCATGTGATTTGTTTTTATCAATAGTACCACAATAAAAGTACACAAAGAGATTTGATAAGCACTCATCCATGAGGTTTTGTACTTTTGGAATTCTTCTTGGAACCCAACCTCCATCCTTAAGGAAATCCAGATTATCCAAATGTAGAGTTAGGTCACATGAAGAAGTCCTGGAAGATGGGCTATTATGTGGAGAAAGAGGTCATGTGGAAGAGCACCAAAATACCCCCAGCCAAGCTCTTAGGTGAATGCATCTCAACAACAAATGGAGCAGAACTGTCCAGTCAACCTAGAGAATTATGAAAAATAATATATCATTGTTGTTTTAAGCCACATGTATTGGGATGGTTTGAAATATAGCAAACAAACAAATAAATAAACAAATAAATAAAACAAACAAATAAATAAATGTTGGAACCCTAAAGAATGCTAGGAGTAAGGGTACACCAAACATAGACCAAGCCTTACAAAAACTGAGGTCTTGTTTCAAAAGAAACTTAATCCTTTATTGGATTAATTTGCTCATCATCCCTACTCCCAATTTTCCACCAGAAGCTAAAATAAATCATCTTGTAAGGAAGACAACATCATCTAGAACCTCAGGTCATCTATATAGTTTTTAAACAATATACAATGCCCAGAATTTTTTTAAAAATTATGCTTACAAAAATATAAGATTTGACTGGGAGTCAAGAGAAAAATCAGACAATAGAAACACAACCACAAGAGATCCAGATATGGAAGTTATCAGACACAGATTATAAAATAACTGATTAATTTGCTCAATAAATTAAATGACAAGATAAAGAGTTTCAGCACACATGTGGAAGTTTTAGAATTAGAGTGAATTTATGGAGCATAAATATACAATAGCTGAAACTAAGCAGTCAACAGACAGACTTAACAGCAGATAAGATGTAGCTAAAAACAGAATTTGTGAACTGTAAGGCAGAACAGAAAAAATCCAAACTTCAGCACAGTCAAAAGACTAAAAAAATAAACAAGCATAAGAGTCAGATATGACTCAGTGAGAAGAGCCTCACATTCACATAGAAGTCCCAAATGGAGAGGAGAGAGAGAATAAAATAGAATCCTATATAATAAAAGCCTAATATGCAAATCGACCAAATGGTGGAACGACTGGTCACTATGATGTGTACTGACCACCAGGTGGCAGATGCTCAATGCAGGAGCTGCCTCCTGGCGGTCAGTGCGCTCCCATAGAGGGAGCGCTGCTCAGCCAGAAGCCAGACTCACAGCTGGCAAGTGCAGTGGCAGAGGCAGGAGCCTCTCCTGCCTCCGCTGCAGGCAGACATTCCCTTAAGGGGTCCCAGACTGCAAGAGGGCACTGGCCAGGTTGAGGGACACCCCCCCCCAGTGCACAAATGTCATGCACTGGGCCTCTAGTTAACCCCTAGAGTGCCAGGGAGTGCAATCGCGCTCCTCCTGTCTTTCGCCAAAAGTGCCAGGAGCGCTATCGCACTCCTCCTGCAGTGTCCAGTTCTAAGTCTGCTTTTTTTTTTAGTGGTGATGATATTGCTAAATGTGTTAATTCTTGCTGTGAAGATGATGATTTTGTGGAAGATATTGAATATGTAACTTCATTTACTTGCGATTCATAATTTTTTTCCTAAACTGCTGTAAAATCAGCAAAAATGCCTTGGCAATTTTAGCATAGTTCCTAGGACATTGGTTGGCACTCAAAGGGTTAATATGGAAAGAAATAATGGCCAAGGATTTTCCAAGCTAATGAAGATTTCAAGTCACATATTCAAGAAACTTTACAAACTCCATTAAAGATAAGTAAAAAGAAAACCAACCCTAAACACATTGCAGTAAAATGGCCAGAAACCAAGAAAAAAAAAAGACAAAATATTGTAGATTGGATAAGAAAACAAAACTCAATTCTTTTTTTTCGGGGTGGGGGGAGGATATTATTAATAATGTTTTTCTACTTGTCTGAATCACTTCAAAATAAAATGCTTTAAACAAAGAAGCTTATTTCTTTTTTCCTCTATCCCCTACCCAGCCTCTTTGGCAACTATCAGATTAGTCTCTATATCTATGGGTCTGTTTTTCTTTGTTTGTTCATTTGTTTTGTTTTATAGATTCCACATGTAAGTGAACTCATATGTTATGCCTTTCTCTGTCTGATTTATTTTTACTTAGAAAATACTCAATTCTTCATTTCAAAGTGATTACCTAGGGAGGCTGATTGGTCTTGTCTCCTAACTGGATTCTCCACCTTTATTCTTCCTCCCCTCTAGACCATTCTCTACACTCAGTAGGTCAAACTAAAATTTAAATATGATCACCTCTCTCCTCTATAGAAATGTTTCAGTGGCTTCCCATTCTCTCAGAATAAAGTTCAAACTTCTTATCACAGCTTAAGTGCCCACCTCAGATCTGATCTCTACCTTTCTAGATTCCTTTCTCACGACTACCTCTCTAGTACTCTACACTCAAGCCATACTTCACTGGCTATTCATTCCTCTAAACTGCTTTCCTCTCCCCCACTTCAGGGTCTTTGTGTATGCTGTTCCTATTCTTTGGTACTCACTCCCTTCATTTCATATTCCTTTTCCTGGGTTTCCTACTTTCTGTCAGGTTATAGTTTAAATATCATTTCCTCTTGGAAACTTTCCAGAATTCGTAGACTGGGTAATTTATACCACAGAGGGCAAGAAATTTTCTCCTTATATCCCGAAATATCCCTATCAAAGTACCTATCACACTTTATGATTACTGCTTATTTGTGTATCTCCCTGTAAAGACTGTCAGTTATAAAAGGGCAGAAATCATGTATGTCTTGCTCACAGTTGTCTCCCTAGTCTTCAGCTTGGCTCAAAAAACAAAACAAAACATCCCTGACTGGTTTGGCTCAGTGGATAAAGCGTCGGCCTGCGGACTGAAGGGCCCCAGGTTCAATTCCAGTCAAGGGCTTGTACCTTGGTTGCGGGCACATCGATGTTTCTAACTCTCTGTCCCTCTCCCTTCCTCCCTGTAAAAAAAAAAAAAAAAAAAAAAAAAAAAAAAATCAATAAAATATATTTAAAAAAAAAACACTCAATATTTTTAAAATTATTTATTAATATTAGAAAATCCTCGTATCTTATCTTCAAGACAGTCCATCACACCTCTCTTGTAGACCTAGCTATTTTTTTTTTCTCTTCTAGAAGCTTCTAGGGAAGGGTACATGTGAATTGGCTATGCTTTTACTTTCTTTGTTCTCTTAACATTTTCAAGATTTTGCTGCAATGAAGATAAATACAAAGCAAAAAATAAATTAGAAAATGTAAGTGAAAGTATAAATAGTCATACCATATTCCCCTCCCCTGCTATCCCAATCCCAGAGTGTTTATACTTGCTTTCTTACATGCAAAAAAGTGTGATTATTCTACTTGTATCCTCAAATGACACTCTGGCTTTTTAGCCACTCCAGCATCCAGTTCACAAATGGCCTTCCTTGTTTTTTGTAGCCTTGGTGGCTCCTTTCCAATTTTTATCACGGAGTTTGTTTTTCTCTGCTTCCTTCTCTGCTTCCTCTTCTCAGCTCAGCACAGCTTCCTCTGTCATGTTCTATAAACCTGCCACTGTTGATGAGTCTCTTTATGTGCCGTCTGAATTGGTCGGCTCTGTCTCATTATCCCTTGGGTTCTATTTTGAATTTTAGTGGCAAACAATTTTTTCTTTACTTGTTCCTTTCTCTCCCCTTGCAGCTCATTTCTTAATTTGGTCACTTAATTAACTTTTCATTTGACAAAACTGAATGCCACCACTTTGCCATCATCAAATTTTGTCTGCTTTGTTTTCTGTTTGCATTACCACTGCCAAGAACAGTATCTGGCACCTGCTCCAGACTCAGTACCTATTTGTTGAGTACATTAAATGCCTTGGCATGTACTCTACGACAGGCTGCTTGGGTTGATTTAGATTACCTTTGCTCTTCATGTGCCACAGATAAATGTTTAAAACGTCATTGAGTGCCTAAAACTTGATGACACAGTAAAATTTCACTCCAATATAAATGCTGTGACCTGATCCAATTATAGGCATTCTTCCTTCCTAGGTTTTTTGTTGTTGTCCAGAAATGTAAGAAGAATAATTTATTTTCATGTAGAAACTAAGAGACTTTATACTCCCTTTGAATATTAAGCCTAGTCTTTGGTCTATAACCCAACCTTTCATCAGTACAATGAATACAGTTACTTCATCTAAATGTAAACAGAGAGAAGTTCACCCTCTAAATCAAATCGCTGGTGTTTATAAACATGGGTAGCAAGTACCAAGCAAGAAGGGCTCATGGTCCAGGGGAAAAGCTGCTAAGAGAGAAAATTTCTCAGTACTGCTACTCATTTAAGATTTGGGATAGTGGAGATTTTAGTGACTGCTGGGTTGGCAATAGGAGGGGTTTGATGGGATTAAAAAAAAAAAAAAAGGTTAGCTGGTGAGATTAACTAAATTAGCAAGTAGTAGTGAGATAAGGAAAAGGCATCATGACTTTGGGAGAGGGTAAGAAAGGAACCTAGGATTAACATGAATTAAAGGAAATTGGGGGGGGGGGGGTGTCGGGTATAGCAAGGGCCAGAGCTTAGCCTTAGATGGTGGAGTCAAGGGGCTGGAGACAGGGCCCTTGAGCTCTAATGCTAACGGTGGCGAGAGCAAGCAAATAGCGCGATGGGGAGAGGATTGCTCCAGGACTCAGAGGGCGGCAGTGGAGGGACTCCTGAGCCCAGGGCTGGGGCGCCTGGAGCGCGGCCAGCATCAGGTGCGGGCAGGCTGTGGCTGGCGAGGGGGCTGCGGGTTTCCTAGACAGCACCGAGGGCGAGGGTTAAGGCTGTAGCGGGCACTTCAGGCTCTCAGGGGGGGTTCATTCGGGTTTGGTGGCCACTCAGTGTTGGATGGGAAACTCAGTGAAGGGTGGGATTTCATTTCAAGCGGCTTAGGGTGGTTTCGGAGAGATGGAGGGGCTTGGGTCAGTTACGGGGGTACATTTCAGCTCGGGCGGGCGGACGCGCCGGGTCCGGGCATGTCGCCGTGGGGTGTATGTCAGCAGCGGGGCAGGTGGATTCCTCTGCACCAGGCGTGCCAGGCGGGGCTGGAGGTCGCGGCGGGTGAATGGCGTTCAGGACGCGGTGTCCAGCGGGGGCTCCGGCGGTGCGGGGAGCCTGTGGCTGGAGACATGGGCGCGCGGCGCGGCGCGGCGACGACGGAGGACCCTCCCTCGCCTCCGCCCGGGCCTCGCGGCGGCCCTTTCCCCCGTAGAGACGCTTTTCGGCGCGGCCCCTCCCTTCGCACCTTTAAGAAAAAAAAAGAAAAAAATCACCTCCAACCTTTCCCGTGAACCCCGAGCCTGGGGCCACTTCCGGGAGCGGAGGCGCGGCCCCGCGGGCGGAGGCGGAGGCGGAGGCGGAGGCGGAGGCGGAGGCGCGGGCGGCGGCGGGGGAGGGGAGGGGAGGGGAGGCGGAGGCCAACATGGCGGCGCGCAGGGCTGGGCCCGGCCGCCGCGCCTGAGCGCCCCACCGCCCTCGCTCGGCTCGCGGCGCGCACGCCCGCACCCAGCCCGGCCCGGCGGCCGCGGAGGGCGCAGGCCGGGAGCGCAGAGGCCCCCCGGGGCGCGGGGACGGCGCCGAGGCCGCTCCGTCGCCCGCCGGCCGGCGCCGCCCGGAGGCCCGCGCCATGGAGTCGGAGGAGGAGCAGCACATGACCACGCTGCTGTGCATGGGCTTCTCGGACCCCGCCGCCATCCGCAAGGCCCTGCGCCTGGCCAAGAACGACATCAACGAGGCCGTGGCGCTGCTCACCAACGAGCGGCCGGGCCTGGACTACGGCGGCTACGAGCCCATGGACAGCGGCGGCGGCCCCGGCCCCGGGCCCGGCGGGGGCCCGCGCGGCGACGGCGGCGGGGACGGCGGCCCCACCCGCGGCGGCAGCACCGGAGGCGGCGGCGGCTTCGACCCCCCGCCCGCCTACCACGAGGTGGTGGACGCCGAGGTGAGCCGGGGAGCCGTGCCCCCGCGGTGCGGCCGGCGGGCGGAGGGGACACACCCCACGGGGCGGCGGGAGTCGGGGTGGGACGCAGACCCGGAGAGAGGGGAGCACTGGGCTCGTCGGGGGCGGAGGTCCCCGGGCTGGAGTCCCGCGGGGAGAGGGACCCCGAGAGGAAGGGCTGGATGGGGCTCGGGGTGCGGAGCCGGGTGGCGCGGGAAGGCGAGGAGGGGTCTCCAGGCGGCGGGGCTGAGCGCGCCCACGGAGCCGGCCCGGGGGGCGGGTGGGCCTCGGAGATGGGGAGCGCACCCGGCAGCCTGGCCGGTGAGGACGGCGTCTCGGGCGCCAGAAGTGGGTGCTCGGAGGCCAGGCTCGGGCCTGAGGTTCCGGGACCCGGTTCCCGTGAATGAATGGGAGGCTCACCCGGCTCAGATGGGACGGGAGGTGTGACGGGCCAGCCCGAGTGGCCCTGTGCCGGGCGCAGGGAGGATCGCTGCGGGGGGGAGTGGGCTTTGGGGTTTATTTAGTCGAGGACCCAAAAGAGGAAGATGGGGCAGGATCGAACACGAAGAGGGGCTGGGCCGGGCCGGGTGGCAGGACTTGGTATAGGGGGGGGACACAGCTGCAATGAGGTCTGGGGCGGGGGGACAGGCGTGGATAAGGTCGGGTATTAACCACGGTGGGGATTGGCCTGCGAGGTGAGAGGGCCGAGGCCGGGGCTGGCAGCGGTGGGGACTGGAACGGGAGGATGAAGCTGGAACCAAGTCTGGGTGAGGAGAGTCCTGGTCACAGATAAGGTCGTAAATGAGGGGAAACTGGCCTGGGAAAGGGACTGTGTGCAGAGGAGATAAATGGCAGTGGAGGAGGAAAGTCATGGAGGCGAATGGCTTTGATGATAAATCTCAAGTCTGGGTAGAGAAAATTAGGACTGCTGAATTTGGGATTCGAGCAAAGAACATGGGGGGGAGGGTGTGTGTGTGGGGGGTGTGTGGATGAACTTTAACTGCTGTTTAAAAAGATGATGAACCAGAGGCAGCATGGCAGCTGGGGGCAGGAATTTCGGTCAGTTCATTGGGTGGTGTATTTAAAAGGGTCCAGTAGAGCTGGTGGGCCTGATCACAGAAGAACACATTTTCAATTGGTGGTTTGTGTTCTTAAGTACAGGAATTTGGATAATTCTGTTGTTTTTTTTTTTTTGGATAATTCTTAATGAAGCTAAGCTTTCTGCAGGATTTTTCCCTAAATAGTGTTATATTCTTTTAATTACATACTTTGGCAGCAATTGCTTGGACTGAAGTAGCTTGGGAGAGAAGGCACTTCAAAAAACCAAATTTCTTTCAAGATTTCTTTGGTTTCCAGACTTCTATACACTTGATTGAGTGCCCTGTGTTACCCAGTAACTCAGCTGTATCATCGACTAATGTATGGCAGTAAGATTGTTATTCCTAGTTTGGAAATTTTTTAAAAATTACGTATCATTAATTAACTCTCCTTAAGTCACTTTATAAGAAATGAGCTTCTCTTTGCAAGCAAACCCCCATTACTCCTCTTCTTGTTCCTTCCACTTTTGACCCACTTTTGAAATAAAAAAGAAAGCCATTGCTTTTGCTGAGGCATTTGTGTAACTCTACAAAGCTCTGAGAAAATCCTCATTTTGTGAGAAATTTTATTCTTTTTTTTCTTTTGTCACATTTTAATTTCCTGTGATTGAAAAACCAAGTTAAATTACAATGCTTGATGGTATTTTAACATTACCTGTATTACCTGTACATTTAAGTACAAAATACTGGAACTGGCTTTTCACAGGATGATAGGCAGGAGTTTGCTTTCAGGTAAAACCAAGAGGATCTATGTCTTTTTGAGGAGTTGTGTCCAGTTTTCATTTCCTCTTGAACTGTCTTTATCCTGGGGAGGCTGCACCATTTAATTTTGAGAATTCACAAGGAGCTGGTGGCTGAGGCTGCTTTACCCAGAAGCATATTGGCAGAATACAGGCAGACACAGGAGCCTGGTGAGAGTGTTTAACCCAGTTTTTGCCTCTTATAAGTCTTCTTGCATGCCACCTGTGCAGCTTATTGGTCACCCTTGCTATAGTGAGAAACAAACTTTTGATCTTGGAGAATAGTGAAAGTTGCTAATTGTTGTTGAGTATTTCAACATGTCAGGCATTGTGTTAGGTACTTTGTATACAGTTTATTTAATCGTTAGTGAGGTAGTTAATAATATCACCATCTTAGAGATTTGGTTAGTTAGTGGCAGAGTCTTAATTTAAGCCTGGGTCTCTGACTTTAAAGACTGTGTTTTTCACTCTGTTTAACTCATTGTTTTAGGATTGAATTCATCCTATATAATAAAAGACTAATATGCTAAGTGTCTGGTCGTCCGGTCGGCCATTCAACCAATCAAAGTGTAATATGCTAATGATATGCTAAGGCGGCTCAACCGCTTGCTATGACATGCACTGACCACCAGGGGGCAGATGCTCTGACTGGTAGGTTATCTTGCTGCTAGGGTCTGGCCAATCCAGACTGAGCGAGATAGGCTAGACCAGCCGTGGGCAAACTACGGCCCGCGGGCCGTATCCGGCCCGTTTGAAATGAATAAAACGAAAAAAAAAAAAAAAAGACCGTACCCTTTTATGTAATGATGTTTACTTTGAATTTATATTAGTTCACACAAACACTCCATCCATGCTTTTGTTCCAGCCCTCCGGTCCAGTTTAAGAACCCATTGTGGCCCTCGAGTCAAAAAGTTTGCCCACCCCTGGGCTAGACACTCCCTGGAGCCCTCCTGCATCCCTCCCTGGGCCCCGATCTTGCACCAGTGGGGTCCCTCAGCCTGGCCTGTGCCCTCTCGCAGTCCAGGACCCCTCGGGATGTTGGAGAGCCATTGTGGGCCTGATCCTGCAGGCCAGGCCAAGGGACCCCACTGGTGCGTGAATTCGTGCACCAGGCCTCTAGTTTTAGGATAAGAAGGAAAAATAAGGAAATACATAGGGGGCTACTGTACAAGTCTGGGAATGAGGTGACAAGCACTGAATCAAGGCATTAGGAATAGAATAGTAATTAGAATAAAAGGAGAATTACAGATTTTTAAAGCAGAAGACTTTAGAAATTAATAATTAGTTTAGCTATCTTGTTTTACAAATGCAGTCTTGCAGTCCCCAAAGGGGAAGTGGCTTGGCCCTACAGAGCCAGTTAATGAAAGACTGGAACTCAGGCCTTCTCACTGCAAATCCAGTGCATGTTCTCTCTACCAGCTATTTTTGTTTCAAAGAAAGAGACAAGATATAGTAATGGGTTAAAGGGGATGAAGAAAAGGGAAGTGTAACAAACTGGGTGAAGTTTGTCGGTTCTTGTATGATTTACCTGTTTTATGAATACTTTATTTTAAATTATATAAAACTTTATTTATTGAATAGGAAATTTTAGTTTCATTGTCCTCTTAAAAATGTTTGGGAATATATAGGTTAAAACCTAATACACAGATTAAAATCTAATTGTTTTTAAAAGAAAAATGATTACATTTATTTTATATTTGTAGTTTGGTAATGATCTCATTAATGCCTTCCCTATACTTGGGCTGGGAGTACGGTGCAGAACAGAACATGAAGGTTGCATTCTAGTTGATCTTAGGGCAAGGCCTCTCATTTTACAAGAAGTAACTTCCCAAGGTCATGTAGCTCATTAGGGAAATGAGTTTAGTAATTTGGGTCCATGCTATAATTAGGATTTGGTTTAAAAATTAAATTTTGGAAAGTAAATGCAGTTAACTTCTGGTTCCATGGAAGCCAGGAGAATGCAGATAAAGAAGACCCAGCTACCTAGCAGAACACAAAACTTAACAGGTAGCCACCTTTTTAATTTCCTCTAATTAAGTAAAGGTATTGCTTTGCAGAAAAGTTGTGTTTGGTGTTACTAGTGGCCTTGGACGTAGATGTATGTATAATTCTTAGTCTCTGAGTGTGGAAGGAACTTCAAGAAGCTATCCAGTTTTGATTTTGAATAGCATTTCTTCAGAACCTTTCCAATGCTGGTGAGAGCCTGTTCTAATATTAAAGAGAGTGAGATCTTACAACTGCTCTAAATAATTTATTCAGATATTTAACACTCCCACTGTCAGAGTTCTTTACTGTTTCTTATGTGGGTAATACAAAACCCTCTGGCCACTACTAAAGGCATGCCCACGGTTCTGCTCTTCACAGAGCTGGGAGAGTTGGTCCTTTAAGACTTGTGATCCTGTTAAAGGGACCAGTAAAAATCAGAACCAGGTACTGTTGTGGGCATCTTATCAAATTTAGCAACTGTGAAATGTATCTCATTTATTATTAAGTCTCCTTATTTGTCTTTAGAAAATACTAAAATGCTTTTTCAAGGAGATTTCCGTTAACAGCTAGAAATACCTTTCTGTGATAATTAATATTCTTAGAAGTGACATTTAATACTGTTGTCTAGCAATATTGTGAACTCTTTGTTTTGTTTTTGTTTTAATGTGTACATTCCTTCTGGAGTTATTTTGTCAAAAGTGTTTGCAAGATTTCATTGCTTCTTTGTTTTTTAAGAGCCCCAAAGCTGGTCGTGCTATAATCACAAAAATAAAAGTCACATTAATTTGTAGTTCCTTAACTTACCTCATTTCTGCCTCTCCCTCTACCCCTTAGTAAGTGGTAGTTGTAAATGAATTAAAATTATAATACCATCAATATTCATATTAAGGTTTATATTAAAATTTATGTTTCTTTCCCCTAAAATATACAACCCTAGTACATTTAAGTGTGGAGTAAATATCAACTAAATTTTAGTTCATTATTAGTGATTTGAATATATAACCCATCATCAGTTGAAAGTAGATGAAATAAAAATAAGGAGTCTAAAAGATAGCCCAATTTTTGAAATAAAAGTTTTTTATAGTATATATGTATCTCCTTTGGGAATTAGGTTTGTGAGTTCATCTAATAGATTCTTACCTTGTTATTACCTCGCCATATGTTATTAGAATGAATGTAATTAGGCATGAAGGAAGTACCTTTTATGTGTCATTGAGTGTGTAGTTCTAGTGAAATCATTGTAGGTAGTACAGCTGTATACAACATAATAATGCTATTAACTTAGAATTTGAAACCAATTACAATATTAGAAAAGTAAATGTTGTAATGTTTTAACAAATTGAGGGAACAGTTTCAACTTTAATGCAACTTAAATATAAGATTAAACAATTTCAAAATACCTCCATACATTTAATGCACTAAGCTCATACTTTTCACTCATTTGTATTGTAACTTAAAAAAAAACTATAGTTCAAATAAGTTTTGATACTAGATTTCCTATCATATTAAAAATAGCAAATTAGGCCCTGACCTGTTTGGCTCAGTGGATAGATAGAGCGTCGGCTTGCGGACTCAAGGGTCCTGGGTTCGATCCCAGTCGAGGGCATGTACCTTGGCTGCAGGCACATCCCCGGTTGGGGGTGTGCAGGAGGCAGC